CCTTTGGTCTGCAGGTCGGCACTCAGTCCACGGAACCGCACCAGCCGGGGTGATGTGCTGCTTTTAAAAGAGTTTCCGTTCCCACTTGCTACAAAAATATGAGACATTTGACATCAGTGAGGGTTCATGATGACCTGTTGAAGTTCTCATTTTATTAGGAGAATCAGTCATCTGTCATCATTTATGGAGTGGAAAGAATGTGCCCCCATCCCGGAAGGGCCCCCCCCAGTCCGGGGGGAGGGGAACGGGAGCGCGGTGTCAGGGGCCGCGTGAGGACTCGGCGTGGGCGACACCCCAGCCCGGCCGTGCTCACTGAGCAGGAGCTGCCGCGCTGGAAGCAGGCCCGCTGTGGCTTCGCAGCCTCTCGCTCCCCGGCGCTCTGTCCACTGGAGGCAGCCCGGATCCTGGCCCGAGGGTCAAGTTCCCCATGGCCCTGAGCTGGGCTGGCTGACCACGGGGTACAGCTTTCTCTGCTGATGGCGGGCAGGGGCTGGTCCCCACCGGACACGCCTCTCCGTGGCCCGGGCCCTCCAGGGCGGGCGCAGTGCTTTCCAGCTGAGCCCAGGGAGGCGGCTGAGGACGCACCGAGCCTGTCTGTTCCCTGCGGGCCCCTGGCCGGCGGGATGGAGGCAGGGACAGCTCTGTCAGGCGGGCCCTGCATGTTAAGCCCTCGGACTTTGCGGGGGGATTCGAGTGAAAGCCCGTCTCTGTGGGCACGTGGTGCACCTCCCGTGGACCTCGCTGTGTGCGTGAAATACTTTGTGCCCCGAAGGCAGTGTGCACGTCTGGGCGATCATGCCATGGGCACCCTTATAACGTGAGGTGTTTTTGATATAAAGCAAAAGGATCCACAGAAAGTAATAGTAGGACTTCTGTTTGCCAAAGTAACATAGAAAAGTGTATTCTGCCCTCGTCCAGGGCTAGTGACTCATGGAAAGCATGTTATGACTGTGACTTAGAAGAATGGTTTGGTGTCACTCCTCTGAGTAATGGGGAAGCCGGGAGCCACTCTGCCCCGCCCAGTCTGCCTCTGCTCTCTGTGGGGACCTCTGGAAGGGCTTGTCTCCGTGGCTCTAGCACTTAGAACCAAACCGCAGCAGGAGGCGAGGCTGGCGAACCTAGCAACCGAGCAACACTGGGGAGACCAGCGGCCGGGCTTGGGTGTGGCCCCACATTGGTTAACTGTTCTGGCATTTGCTGGTTAGCTAAGATCCTCCTGTTCCTAAAACAAAATTAGACCATTCTATTTACCTCTTGCTCTTTTCCTGAGAAAGAAATTGAGCTTCTGCATAGAATCATACTGCACATCAGAGAACTGCTTTGTTTTTCTTTAAGATTTGGGGCATTTCACTTTCAAGAGGCGCAGCACAGGGGCCTTCAGGGGCGCCAGGGCAGTCAGCTCTCCCCACACCTCGGGCGCCCTTGGCCCAGAGTTCTGGGTTTAGACAGTGACTGTCGGGAACGGCCCGGCAGCCTGGAAGGGGCCGGAAACTCAGAGCCCACCTGTCGGCAGCGGGGTCCCGACCCAAGGCCCCCGTGCCACAGACCTACCGCTGTCCATACAAGGACCCGGGCCCAGGCTGGCACGGTCCGGGCGGACGGTCACCCTCGCCCTGCGCCGCGGGCGCCTCCCCCACTGCGGCCCTGGGCTCCATCTGCTCACGTTCCCGAGGAGGGACACCGGAGGCCTCTTGTCTGCCTCCCTCTCGCCAGATGCTCTCAGTTGGCTTTCGTTCTGTCTTCCTCGAGGTGGAGGGTGTCTCTCCCTCGGCCAAGCCTGCTCTGCACACGCCGAGATGGACATTCAGGGTCCCCTCCCGTTTCCCTGTCCTCTTGCACAGCCACACCCCTCCCTTTGGCTTCTTAGAAGACTGTCCACTGACCCAGTGTGGACGCTCCGCCGGCCACTCAGCAGTCACTGTCCCAGTGGCCTTACCCTCAATTTTAAAAAGAAAATAAAAAGGCTTCCTTCATAGCGGCCTTCAACGTGGGGCCCTTTTCCTGAGAGAGCTGCTCCTACCAAAGGGCACAGAAGGCCGCGAGGCCCCCCGACACTTCCCTCTCGGGGCGTGGGCGCTGCATCGCAACACCACGCAGCGTGGAGTCGGCGCTTCCCTCGCAGCAGACCGGCCCCGCCCCGTGGTCTGGGACGCGGCCACGGCCGGGGGGCGCAGCGGCCCCTGTCCGCAACAGCGATCTCCCCGCGGTGTGCGCCGAGAATGTCCACGACACGCAACGCCCGACTCTTCCATCCGGGGTGTGACCTCTTCTCCCTTTGTCTGTCAAATTAAAAAAAGGCGACAGCCAACACGACAATGGCCACTGGTGTGAATGAGTCAAACTGATACCTGTTTGGTTTTTTTGTCAGATCAGCAGAAAATAAACCTTCTTGGTGTGCCCCAGGACATTAGTAAGCAGCCTATGTGTGCCGAGAGATGAAAGGTTGGAAATCGCGGGTCTAGGAGTGCGTTAGAGGAGCAGTTTTCTCTAATTTGCTACCACTCAGTGAAATAGGAAGTCTCTTGTGCACCTGCGGTTACTGTGTTGCTGGTATTGTTGGCTCGTCCGTGGGACAGAGATGGGCCAGCCAGCCGCCTCTTCCTCCTGCACCCTGGGCTTCTGCAGCTGCCTCGCCCCAACCCCCAGCTTCTGCAGGGGCTGTGGGCTTGTTTTCCTTCCCAGGGCCGCCCAGTCTGTCCAGGGCATCCCATTTTAACCCATTGTTGCCAGCTTCCTTCCTGCTGTGGACAGGAAGGCCAGGGAGCCTTGGGCGGAGCCTTTCTGGGAGCAGAGGGAAGGGTGTGGGCATGAAGGCACCAAGGCAGGTGCTGGTCTGCGTGCTCTCGGGCTGGCGGGCTGCGTGTCCCATGTCATGCCTGCATGTCTTCCGCCCTCCATACCCCGTGGGCGCCACCATCCCTGGCAAGTTTCAGGTGCGACTCCAGACACACAGGCAAGGCGACCTGCTCAGGATCCCTTAGTGAGTGTGGGAGCCAGGGACCAGAGGAGATGGCTTCCACGCAGAGCTCTTAACCCCTTCCCCGCCTGGTCCTCCCGCAGCTGGTCACTAGTGGCCACCTATGGGGCTGGGGAGAATGCAGGGGTTTCCCGGCACTGCCTGGGAGACAGGCGGGCAAATGGGATCCAGTCCCCGGGCCCTGCCCTGGGAGGTGTGGCCGCAGGGTTGGCGCTGCCGACCGCTCAAGAGCTTGCCCGGATGGGGACATGGGCACCGAAGCCTCCAAGAGGCCGCTGCTCTGTTAGCTGGCTCCGCTCTCACCTGCGAAGTTGTTGCTGCCACTGAAATCGAAGTTGCTTTCCATGATAAACTCCCCCAAGTCCTACATGTGTAGAACAGTTTAAAATTATTTTCTCCAATTCACTTAATTTCATAAAACCAAGAGTTGTCATTCGTGAACATATGAACGTGTTTCAGCAGGAAAGAGGTATGAAAAGGCACCGCAGTCCCGCTGATACAGACTTTTGTGGGCCGAGGGATGCTGTCCCGCGGAGCTGGGTGCGGTGCTGGCCTGGCAGAGCTGACAGCTGCCCGCTCCGCGGCCGCTCTGACCCTTTGCTCCCCCTCTTTTCCGTCGCCCCGCCTTCCGGCCCTGCAGCCTCCGGCCCTCCGGCCCTCCCTCCGAGCCTCCTGGGCTCTTCTCCGTGCCTTCCCGAGCCCCCTCCCGCAAGCGCGTTCGCAAAGGCGCGCAGCCCACAGTGGGCAGGTCACGCCCTACTATGTTCCGGAGAATTAGGTTATGGGGACAGGGCGTGGGAACTCGGGGGGCTGTAACATTTAAATGTGAATGTGTGGTCCCCCAAGAATCCTTCGGGAGAGGCCTTTGCAGAGAATTAGGCCAAACGATTCTGTTTAAAGTTCGCGTTTGCAGGCGTGGAGGTGGTTATTCTGAGACGGGCCTCGAAAAACGGGACCGAGGGCACGGGCTGACGGGGGTCGACACTGCCCCCCCCGGCCTGGCCTGAGCCGGCTGAGGTTCTGATGGATGTCAGGGTGTCGTTCTGTGGCTTCGGCCCGACCCTGGCGAGGCCGCGAAACGTTCCATGGCTTCGCCGGCAGGGCTTTTAAAGAACGAGCGGCGCGCGTCCTGTGGCTAGAGGAGGCAGGGAGGTTCGGTCCCTTTCCCCGCACCCTGTCCGCTCGGCCCCTGCCCCGCACGCCCTCCCGGGAGGGTCCTGGGCGGTGCGGTCCCGGCTCTGAGCCGCCGGATCCGCGCCGAACCGCGGGCGCCCGCGCTCGCCGCTACGCCGGGATTGCTGCTGGGGAGGCGGGCGGGGACGCACCGGCCTCGGACGCTTGTTCTCACCGCCCTGCGCGCACTTGTGTTGTCCTCCTGGACGCCCGCCCTTCTCGGGGTGCCGCGTTAACGGCGCCGCCCGGCAGGCAGGTGCGACTGGGCTCGCCGAGGTTGCAAGGTCCGCAGAGCTCAGTTTAGCACGAGTTTCGGGGGCGCCGCTGGGCGGTAGCAGGCGGGAGCGGGACAGGAGCGGGCGCGGGGAGATCAGGAAGGCGCTCGCTCCGCCCCCACGCAGGCCCCGCCCCAAGGAGACCACCCCAACCCCCAGCCTCCGGTTCCCTCCCGCTCCCGTGGGCGGGGCCGGTGGGGTCTGCTTTCCCGCCACCTTCCGGTGCGGCCGGAGGGGGTGGGGCGGTGATTGATAACCGCGCCGCTGGGGCACGGGGAGGGGCGCGCAGAGCGGGCCGGGGCGGGGGGCGGGGCGTGGAGCGCGGGCAGGGGCGGGGCCTTTGGGGCGGGACCCCGGTGCAGGAAGGGGCCCCGGGGGCGGGGCGTGAGGGGCGGTGGCGCTCCTCTGCCCCGTGGGCCCCCACCCGCGGGAGGGCCGGGGCCACCTGCGCCACGCCCCTGGGCCGCGCCCGAGCCGCGCAGCGGGGAGCGCGCTCCGCCTCGGGAAGGGCGAGTCCCGGTGCCTTCGCGGGTCTGCCCCTGGACCGGAATCCGCCGCGCTGGGGATGCGGCTGCGCTGAGAGCCTGAGCCCGCGGACCGAGAGCCCCACGGACCGAGAACCCCGCGCTCCCCGAGTTTCTTCCCTGGTTGTGTGCGGAGGTGGACTTGCAGCCGGGCATCATGACCAACCCCGCGGCCACGCAGAACAAGGAAATAGACTGCCTGAGCCCAGAAGCTCAGAGACTGGTAAGAGGAAAAGCAGGAACTTTCGGTGCTCCCGGCGAACGTTTGCCCTCGTCCACGTTCCAAGGTCCAGGGCAGCGGGCACCTCCGACCGCAGGCGTCTGCGCCTGGCAAGGTGTGCGGAGGGCTCCGCCGGGCCGGGCCCCCTTCAAGGAACGTCCCCACGCGAGGATGTGCGGGTGGGAGGGGCCCTGCTGTCTGCTCGGTTCGCGGCCCCGTGCGCGCCGATCCCCTGCGCCGAAGGCGGGTTTCGCTGGACGCCGCCCCTCTCAGGACCAAAAGGACCGCGGTCGCTCCCCTCTGCCTGTGACCGGCTCAGCCCAGCCCGGTGGCTGGGCCTCTGAGCTCCGAGACGTGCGCGCTGTCTAGAGTTTCGCCGCAGCGGTTAGTTTGGTATTTTACCAGGACAGCGCCCACGAAGCTGGTGTGCCGAGCCGGGCCGCCGGGCGCGGGCCGCCGTGGGGCCGGCCGTTCAGAGCACTCACTAGTCCTGCGCTGGACCTTGGGGTCGCTGGGCACTGGACTGACGTCTCCACCTCCCCAAGAACCCCAGTCCCCAGTGGACTGTGGCTGGTCTGCTGAGTCTTCCGGGCCTGGCAGGGCCCTGCACCATTTGGCAGGGATCCGGCCTGACACCTGGGGTGCGGGGTGGTGAGGTGAGGCGCGGGCAGGGGGCGGGCGGCGGCGCTTGGTCATCACCTCGTTGTCATGCTGCCCGTGGTCACGGCGAGAGGGTGCACTGGGGAGGGAAACTGGGGAGCGAGGGCTGCAGCGACCCCGGGTTCCGCTTCGCTAGGCCTTTGTGGGGAACTGATGAAAGTGAGGGCCTCAAACAATCACCCCTCCACCAGGTAGGAACTAGGGGTCCCCTGCTGGGTGTTTGTGGAGATTCAGAATGAAAAGGCTGCCCTGACCGCAGGGCGGGGGGGGGGGGGCCCCCGGCGCTCACAGCAGGCGGCCGCCGGGGGGAGGGAGAGAGATGGGCCGGGTGGGTGAGCTCGCGCCTGCAAGTTACTTGCTGAGGTTGCAGAGCGCGACTCGAACGTCCTGCCGGTGTGCGGCGTCCAAGACCTCACGTAGAGCCGCGCCGCAGGAGCTGGTTACTACCCCGCAACCGCGGGGTTTCCAGGGGCCGGGGAACCTACGGAGAGGCCCTGGGCTCGCCGTGGGGAAAGGCCCTGGGAGGAGAGCGGGCCAGGCGGGGGGGGGGGGGGGGGAGGTCTGTGTCCCTGGGGGGCAGCCCAGGCCCGTGGGATGGAGAGCGGGGACTTAATCCTGGGCTAGGTTCTAGCTCTGAGGGAGGAACTCTGGGTGGGGACTTTTTGAAGAAGAAAAGTAAACAGGGAGACTGAGTGTGTGACGGAGGGAGGGGACTGCCCACGAGACAAAAGAGCAGAAATGACACCCGGCTCTCAAGATGGGGGCCAGCACGGCCTCCCTAACCCCCGGCGTGGGGAGCCCCGGGCTTGGGTCCGGGTGCACGTGGTGCTTCGCGGAAACGGGAGGGGCTGGCCCGCCGGGCCAGGCGGGACAGGCGGGACGGAGAAGGTGCCCGTCAGCCCCGGCCGCCGCCCCTCCCTGGTCTGGCCACCGTCCAGCAGGTCGCCGCAGGAGGATTTAAAGTGAGCGGCACCTGACTGGTCAGGGACATGGGCCCCTTTTCCCTTAGACGGTCAAATAAAAAAGTGACAACAGCTCACACAACAATAGCTGCCTGGTATGAATGAGTCACAATTATACTTTTTTTTTTTTGTCAGATCAAATAGATGTAACATACACTTGCCAAAAAAAAAAATATATATATATATATATAATACACATTTTTGGTGTGCTGCTAGAATTTTAGTGAGTAGTTTATTCCTGCCCCCAGATGACAAAGGTCGCACGTTGCTGCCCTGCCGATCCCAGGACCCAGTGAGCTCTGGAAAAACAAAAGTTGGTGCTTTTTTTTCAGTGAGTTTGTGGCAGAGGCCGCTGGGCAGCGTGAGCCGCCGTGGCCGGGGGAGGCGTCCGCAGCTCCCGCCGGCCTCGGCGTGAGCGATCCTCCGCCTCCCCGCGGCCCTGCTCCTGGGCTCCGCCAGGGGCTGTCACGGAACACATGGTGGGGCCCCGTCGCCCTTCTAAAGGGTGAAACTATTGAAGTCCGAAACATACTGGGCCCTGGGATTTCCGGTAAGAAATTGCGAGCCTGTAGGAGGGTGTTCTTTTTTCACTAACAGCAAAACCTCTTTCAGAGGGAGAGTGGGGAGCAGGAGCCAGGACGCCCCGCTTCATGAGGTGGGCGGTGTCGTGAGAGAGGAGGCCGGCTCCGGGCCGGTCGGGGACAGACGGAGGTGGGGTGCCTCGGAGGGCGTCCCTCCGTGGCCACCCCGGCCGTGCCGCTGGCCCTTTCAAACTGGTCTGGGCCTCTTGTGTTCTGCGTGAAGTCACCCTGTTGCCCTAGAAACAGGCCCCCCGCCGGGGTCGGAAGGCTGGCGCGTGGGTGCCCGGAGGGCTGGGGTGGGCGGGAGGGAGCGGAGCCGCCAGGCTCCTAGGAGGGGAGGGGAGCGGGGCAGGGAGGAGCCGGGTCCTCCCATGACCCTCAGCGGCAGCGCCGGAGCTGTTGGAGGGGCGGGTGTGGAAACCACACACTTCTCTAACTTTTGTAACTTCCCGTGTATGACATGGGTTGTGTCACCTCTGTCAGCTTCCCGCATACCGACGGGCACCAGCCGACAAACACCAGCCCTGTCCGTCCGAGAGGGGCGTCCCCGTCGGGCGTGGGCCCAGTCTGCAGGGCCCACCTCGGCGGCCCCCTGAGCCAAGGCCCTCGGGCGCCGCGCGCGGGCCACGTGGGGACAGGCGGGCCGGCGGCCGCTCTGCCCCTGGGAAGCTCAGCCGGGGACCCTGAGCCCGAGGGCCGCGGTTTGTCTGCGGCCGGCCCTCCAGCGGCTGAGACAGAAAAGCACCGAGGGACGTGTTCTCGCCTCACGTTGCGAGTGTCTCCCGCTGGGGTGACGGTGAAGGCTAAATTTCCCTTTTTCTTTAAGAGTTAGTTTCTGTTCGGCCGGGGCTGCTGTCACAGAGCGGAAGCCTCCTTAGCAAAAATGTTTAAACCTCTGTAGCTTAAGCTGCCCCTGGCAGGGAGCCCAGGAAATCGAGCTATTTCTAGGCGCGGAACTGTTTTGTCTCGAAGCTGATTGGAGTGTTTATTACCTATGCGAGCGAGGCCTTAGCTCGTTTCTGCGGAACTGCAGGGCGCAGCGTCGGCACTCCTGAAAAGGGGAGGCAGGCCTTACCCCTGAGAGGTCGGTGTGTGACTCCGCAGCGGAAGCGTGGGGACTGCTTGCTTAGTCATGTGCCAGCGCTTCCAAAATCTCCGTCCATGTTTGGGAGCGGCGGGCCCCGAGCCCGGAAGGCCTGCGTGACGGACCTGCTGTGGCAGGAGCCTGGCGCCTCCTGCCCACGTCGGGGAGGCACAAGGGCAGCTGGCACCTGACTGTTCTAACTTCGGGCCTCCCCAAGCTTTGTTTGCTTTTGTAAATATAGAAGCTTGTTTTCATGGAATGAATTTGCTAGGACTTTGATTATTCGAACTATCCAGATACGCTTAAGGAAATTCACTTCTTTCTCCTAAGTTAAAGCCTTATTTTGACTGCCCGCACCCCCCAGCCAAACTTCCAAACAAATGAACCAAAAACACGCAAAGCAAGAACCCTGCAACCGGGAACACAGATGTGTGTTCTGCGCTCGTTCATTCATGGGGGGGCGGAGCGGGGGGGGGGGGGAGGGGCCGGAGCGGGGGCGGGGGGCGGAGTGGGGCAAAGTTTCAAGTGACTTTCTCCTCAATGCTGTAACTTGATAGCTGTAAAGCAGTTTCCCCTTGAATCTAAAGAACAACTACTTTGTAGCAAAGGTGTAATTTATCTTCAATTACTGCCTTGAGGGTTTCCTTTTAATTTTAGCCAAAATGTTTCATTTACACCTTTATGTGATAGAGCTTGGAAGGCGACATCTTGTCTGACCCTCTGGGTGGGGAACCCCGGGGGCGGGGGTGAGAAATGAGGGGTGGGCTCTGGGCAGGGGGCTGGGCCATGCCCACCCCTCCCGACCTCTCCCTGCACATCCGCCTGGCGGGTGCTTCCGCAGGCGCGTCTCCTTGGCGGCAGCTCTCCACCGGAACCGGAGCCGCGTTCACACTGCTGCCACCCTGGGGACAGTAGGTGGCATTTTCCACCACCCCACGCCCTCCCCCCGTGTCAGCCTTCAGTGCTTTCTGTGGGCGTCTTCCCCAACCCTGGCCATCACCCCATCCCATGAGAGGACTCGGTTACCCCCACTTACAGATAAAGAGGAAACGGGGGCTCAGAAGGGTCAGGGGCTTCCCCAAGTGCACGCGCTAGCGGGCAGCGGGGCCGCGGACTCGGAGCCGGTGCCGGCAGCTGTCCCCACTGTGACAGCGCTGGGGGCAGGAAGCTGCTGGCCGCTGCGGAAGGCGCTGAGGGTTTCGGGTTACTAGGGCAGCCTCTTCAGACCGAGTTCTTGCTCCTCTCGAGAAGTCTTCATTTTATCGAGTGTTTCATTTCTATTTCTGGTAGTTTTCAAAACTTTAACCAAAGAACACGCAGTGGCCTCCGGTTTTCTAAATAAGGAAGAGAGCACCAGAAACAGAGGAGCGGCGGGCCTTTCTGGGTCCTCCATGCGGCCTGCCCGCTGCCTTGCCCTGCTGGTCCGTGGCCAGCAATGCGGGAAGCTGGGCGGCTGAGCCTTCCCCTGGGCTGGGCGGCCCCGGCCCCACGCCACCCAGACAGACCGGCCCCCGGGGGGGCAGAGCGGACGGCCTTGGAGTCCCCCGGGCCGGTTCCAGGACCGTCCCTTGGGCACGGGAGGGGTGGTCAGCAGCCGTGACCGGCCTGACCCCGGAAAGCGTGGCGTTGCCGGAGAGCCAGCCTTGCTCTGATGAGGAGCCCCGTCGACGCTCTGACACCTTAGAGGTGCGGAGTTCGCAGGGGAGACCTTGAGTG